TGTGCAAGGCTACAAATTTCCTTAGTGCATTTTAAGCATTTACTGAGCACTTAATTAAACGCTTTCTTCTACCACCACTACTAATTAAAACGATTCTTTCTTCAACAGTTAGCATTATCTTTCACGATTTCTTTCTTTCATGACAGACTATTGATAGACAACGCATAATATTGGCAGCACTGCATTGCACTTTGACCTGATCTAAGATAATAATCGTTTTTCTTAAAACCAAGGCAAATGAAAATGGATTTTGTGATTATCTTCAACAGGCGTATCAGATCTTTTTGTGCTCAAATAGAAAAAGACTATCTTTTGCTAAATAATCAAATCATGGTAACACAATCGCTTCACTTTATCACGATTACCGATACACACAATCATCTCAAAAACAATTTCGTTATGTTTTAGCAAAGGCACATTTCATTAGTGCCAAAAATTATTTCTTCGTCAATATATTTAATTTCCTAGAAATTTGACACTCTATTTATCATCTCACTAAAGAAGAACCTAATTAACTTGAAAAGCATACTACAGGTCACATAACATATCACATCACACCGCTTACTACACACTTTGTTTACCCCAGTACAAATTTCCCTTTCAAAATGATAATAATACCACCTGTCCACCTGTCCTAATCATTCTTATTATAATTACTTCGTCTGGCAGTCAGTGCCAAATCTGATTAAAACTTTCTCAAATTTTATAAAAAATTCTAAAAAAGAACTAAATTAATTATATGTTTCATATATGAGATAATGATCTATTAAAAGAAATATTTGTTTTCTGAGATAATGATCTCACTGCAATAAAAATAAAGCAAACATAGTCAGCCCATTCTAATTCTTGAAGAAAATAATTCTGAGTAAATAAAAATTAAAAATAAATAGAAAAACTGTAACTAACAAGTCTAGTTTCGTTCGTTGGTTGCAGAAATCCTTTAATAAAATTATTACGTGGTTCGAAATGAGCAGGTATCAATTCACGTCCTAACAGCGACGTCGATGGATTAGGCGGTATTAAATTTACTGAAAATTACAACACTATAATTGAAACAGACCATTAGCAACAACGTATAATATGCAATACACTGAGACAAGCATAAATTACATGAGCCTTTACTATCATTTAACACGAACAAGAATAAACTAGAAAGAATAAAAGGTAGCAAAAAGAAATGTTAAGTAGCAAAAAAATTATTAATTAAAACTATCAATTAAAATAAAAGCATGCTAAGTCACCTTCACATGTCTCATAAGCATTAGACGCTCTATGAACAGCTTCAACCATACCTCCTTCTAAAAATGAAAACTTATTCGCTTGCATTGATAGATTCTGATAAACACGAATCTCTTCGAAACCAAGCACTTAACCCACTATTTAACTATTTACTAATGGTTTGATACAACCAGAGCTAAATAAAACCGCAGGCAATAAACTCCACTTATGTTATTACTTTTCTGACTTCATTACATTCTTATGGCTGATGGAAGATTACAATCTCAAGAGTGTCGGAAATCTTAACATGAAATTAGTCACTAAATTAGCATTTAGAACTGTTGCAATCTATAAGTCATTGATTCATTGATTACTAGAATATAATATATATAAAATTTAATTTATATGAAATATTTTTTATACATTCAAAAGCAACTATTACGCCTATAGAAAAACACGAATGAAATATGTTCTCTTCCTTTATCAAAAAACTAAATTATTATCAATAATTACGGATTATCCAAGAGTAATTTATTTCAAATAATATTCAGTAATTAAATCAACCAAAATATCTAAATTGGAAACAAAAGTATGGAAACTAAGCGATTTATTTCAAATATTAATAAACACGTATAAAGCGAAACGTTCTCTTCAACATGAATTATAAATATATGTATAAATATATAAATATATGTTTGCAACCTTAAAAGTATGACGTAGTAGCTGTCAAAAGAAGATTTGCTGCTGTGCTCAATCCCCTATACCTAGTCTAACTAAACCATTAACAGTTTGGTTAAGCTAAGCTAGCTAAAGGTCTATTAAGAGAAGTTTTATTCACCCGAAAAAAAAAGCTTAAATTTCTTGCATCACAACAAAATCTTACTCAGCAACAATGTAAGTGAACATTTCGTATGAATAAATTGTGTATGCGTGTGAATAATTCACCAAACTAACAAATATATAAAGTTTTCTATTAAAGCAATAATTATTACATTTTTGAAAGAATTTTTACCAGCAAAAAATTACTCTATTTGCTTTCATTTCTAGCAATGAAAGTTAGAATTCTTAAAAGCTGAACCAGTCTAGCTAGGCCTTCTCTTTGAAGCAAGAAAGGCCCTGCCTGATTAGCGCTCTCTACAACAACCAATTTTTGAACAACTGATTGGTCTGTTGAAACAAAGTATATTCATTCCTTCTGCTTCTTCACGACAAATCGATCTTTTTTTTTTTGAATCTTGAGTTAAAAGTTTTTTTTTGACTTGAAAGAATAAGCTTGTCGAGAATGCAAGCAAAGCTGCGTAAAATGTACAGATCAGATATGTTAAAAAAAGAACATATATTCTTAAACAATTGATCGAAAGTATGACGTTAACAGTTCTTTTATCAAACAATATATATGCAGAAAATATTATTGTTATTCTAATTTATGTCCACACAATGTCTACAATTTTTCCGCATTAATATGCAAATTTTCGCTTAAAAAATATAAATTATCTTCAAAAAATTTTTGTACAATAAAAACATGCAAAAATCAATGCTGTTAGTGCAAATAACAAAAACATAAAAAGTATAACTTGAAACAAACACAAAGGCACACATAGAGAACTCACAGAAAGCAGGACCGTCGTAGTGTTTGTACTGATAATGATACTCACCATCAGCACTTTCTGTTTTATTTTTATCGGACGTTCGTTGTATCTCATAAATGCCCATTCGACTTCCATGCAATAATAATTGTCCAGCAGAATATGCAAATGGATTCTGCAAGCAATTGATCAATATTATTACTACTAGTTATACTGTCATCAAAATCAAAACTAGTATTGATATTACCAACCAATATTACTGCTATTATCAGTAATACCATACTACTAAAAGTTAAACTTGCTATTTTTCAACTGAACCAGACGACCTTTAAATATATAAAACTTTTGCATGAAACTAACAACTGCAAAACCAAAAGAAAAAGTCGGAAATGATAAGATTCATTTGTAAACTAGTTTACAACGACCTCTACTTGTTCTTTTTTCTCTCTATTCTTGATTCAAAATCTTCAGAGTTAATTTTTTTAATTTAATTCTTAAAGTTAACTTTTACTTTTTATCATTACCTATATCAGCTAATGAGCATCGATTCAATAGCTTTTTATAATTTTTTTATCTTTTTATCTTTCTTTTCTTTTTCATATATGACGAGAAAATTTCAAAAAAATCAAGTCTGAGAAGGAGTGATAATAATTTTTTGTCGTTCTTGACATTTTTTATAAACTGTTAAAAACGACAAAAACTGCAAAAAAATTGAATGAATAACACGTAACGCCAGACTTTTACTTTTGTGATTACAAAAAAAACTAGATTACTTAAAATTCAGTTTTAAATTTAGTGCATAAATTGTAACAAACATCATCATGCTTTCCAGGAGATACAGGAGCTACATTTTCTTGTCCAGCTTTTTGATTATTATCACTTGTGACGCTTCCTTCAACTTTTTCATCATCTTTAGGTACATCTAAATTTTCCGATACATCCATTGGTGTTAGCCCATCTTCCTCGCCATCATTTAATGCATTAATCTGAAATGAATGCTTCTAATCTCATCAATCAAAAAGCATAACAAAACATACCACCCACAAATCACTTCTCTCTTCACAACTCTATCTTAAAATTGAAATTAGTTAGTCTGTATTAACAATTTATAAGACAAATATAGACTAGTTCAATTATATCTTCATACTTGCTAACTAAATAACGACGATATAAAATTTTTAGCCACAATGAACTGATAAAAAAAATACAAATTTAAAAATTTTATCAAATAAAAGTAACTGACTAAAAAGTAAATTATCATATCATTCGTATGAGGAGAACATTTAATTGCACAATACAATGATACTAATCTTTGATGTAAAATTAAATGTTAAAGAGCGAATACAAGAAGGGATAAAACATGACCCGCCAAATCCATGTTTATACTGCCCATAGACCCTATAGTTATTCTATTAATAAATACACCCCAACTCCAACTCCAACAAACTAAAAATTGATCCTTTGTGACCTTTTTTTGTCCTTCTTAGAAATCTTCTAAAATAAATACGCTGTGCCGGATTTAATCTAACGTGAAAATAAACGCAAACAAATTATTTAGCTCTTTTCTGACTTAGCTTCTTTCAAATGCAACAACAAAATTATTTTAAAAATGAATATTTTTTTTCACGCTATTCATCGTTTAAAATTGTGCACAAGTTAACACTTGTACCATGGATAACATCACTTAATTCTGTCACACTGATGCTATTTTAAATGCTTCTACAACACCTGCCAATGAAGAATATAATAATTCTGCTTTATATTGTTTATGTTACGCTAATTTACTGAATTTTAATGTAAATTTAAATTTTGTGAATTTAGAGAAAGAGAATGAAAGCAAAACCAGGTATTTTTTTCTCCAACAAAAGTCTATTTAACAACTACTTAACCTTATAAGCATCGCATTTCGATCCAGTAAATCAATTCAAAAAAGTCAATTTATGAATCAGCCATTTTCGCAAAATTCCAAAACTTTATCAAATAAATAATGGATATTAAAATATATATAGAAAGTAGTGATCTAAATGAAGCATATTCTTACTTCCTGAATCACATTTCCTTGTGTGTAAAAATTTTGAAAAGAGCTAATATTGATCGGCTTATTCTGATTCTTTCTGAAATATACACTTCAACAGTTTTACATCTACAACTTTGTCAACTTAGAAACTGCATTCAACGATACAAAATAGAAGAGAATCAATTATACTCATAAGAATCAGGCACAACTTCATCCTCATCAATATATGCTATCTTGCTTGTATTAATATATCCATTTTCCACCAATTTCATCGAATTCAAATCACTGAAATGTCAAAAGTATTTTACAGAATTTAGGACAAGGTCAAGAAATATTTTTCCAACTTTCAAAAACAATAATTACAAGGGATTAATTGTATTATCACAACCAAATACTTCCTCCAACAACTATGAACTTGTTCACGGTAATAATAATTCGCTAAAACTTACTTCAAATTGACCATCATATTAATTTGTTTATCAACAGTTTGCGTAGAGCGTGATATATCACTAATAACACCGTTTTCATTAGCATTTTTTAAGTCCAAATGCACCAGTTTCTGATCAGTTGCAATCTTCGACAAACTATCCGAAGTCAAATTCATTACTGATATATCTTTTGTACTAATACTATTTTCACTATTAATGTTGTTTTCATCTGTTTTTGTTACACACGAGCAAGGTTCCCATTTTTCCTGGAAAGTATTCACAGTAATAATTTACAATATATGAAAACAGAAGTAATAATAAGTATCTGGCAATAACGATAACAGACGATATAGGTAAAAATTTTAGTTGAGAGACAATATAACTATTATAAAGCTAATACTAAAAAGACCAAATACATCAAGCAACAATAGACGAAAAATCTAAGGTAGTCTCATTTTTTTAAAATATATTACAAAATAATAAATTGATGTAAGGATAAGAGAGTAAGAGTATTGATAAAAACAATTAGTGATAAAAATGATAGATAAGAGCCATAATATTCATAACAACAATAATAATGATAATAGTAAGAAGAATATAAATAACAGCAATGTATGCGAATAAATAAAATGCGAAAGGATTACACACGTGCCAAATGTTGTGAATAATGAGAAAAATATATATTATGCAAGCAATATTTTGCAAAATGATCTTTGTTTATTAATTTTATCACGCTAATTACTTTTCTTTGGAAATATAGTATCAAATATGATTTTACAGATTTTTCTGAATGAAGCTAGCAATTAATAAACAAGCAGACGTATCTAAATTTGACTAAATCTAATAATGATAAAAATGATAGGTAAAATCATAATATCAACAATAACAGGAAATTGCAACAAAGATAATAATGACAATTTATTTTACATTACTAAATTGCAATAAATAGAACTTCGATTTGCACTTCGCGATAATATCCAACTTATATTAAGATAGACAAAGTTAATCAGAAATGATGAGTGTTTATTCTCGAAATACACTTGTGACTGGATTCTATAAATAATATTTTGTTCACATTTTCAAAGAAAAAAAGAATCTTCAATGAAAGAGCAAATCGAAGCAAACTTTTTTATACAAAAATTTACAGTTACTGCTTCAGAGTTTCATGGTATAATTGAAATGAATTGTCATCACTATCTTTGCAATCATTATTTACACTGAATACTTTTACAATCAGAAACTGCAACAGTATGTAGAATTGTTCTTTATTAATATAGTAAATAATTTCATATTTTATCCAATCAATTTAAAATCAGTGAACAAAGTGATAATAATGATTTGTAAGATAATGAAAATTATAATGATAATACGTTTAAAGAAATGCAAATATTAAACAAAATGCCATGCAAGTGTTACATACCACTTTTACATACGTAATGTGTCACGAATTCTTTCTCAAAAGGTTGCTAATTTTTCTTACTTTGACTACATTACCATTTTTGCTTTAATAATTGCTACTAGCGATAAATTTTTTTCTTTTCCTAATAAACATAAACTATTACTTTAACAACATTAAATACAGAAAGATATTTATACTTAATAATAAATTAATCTCGAAAAGTTAATAGAAACATAATTACTAAAATTACTACGCTTTTATTTATTTTTAATATATGCACGATTAACATGATTTAAAAATACAGAGGTTAAAATAGAACCATAATTAAACTGAATCACCGTCACCTTGTATGGTTGAGATGATGCTCATAAAATTTACAAACGATCAGTATTTCTGGCATGCAACATTTTTTAATCACTGAAAAGAAGAAACAATAAAATAAGAAAAAAATATACTGCTCAAAAGAACAACAATAAATAAAGCGGATTTTTAAAAAAAACCAAGAAACCAGAAAAAAACACAAAATTACTTACCGACTGCGTATATTTCCCCAGAATTTCACATGTGTGTAAGAGAAGCGAAGATTCTCTAATAGCCGTCACTGCAAGTTGTTGTTTGCTAGCTTCTAAAAAATCCTTTTAACGTACGTATATTTATTAAAACTTTGCTTTCAGCTCATTTTTCAGCAAGTAAAGAGATAGATTCTAGTCCTTAACATGAGTACAGTACTCAAAAATTGCACTGCAATTATCAAATTGCAAATCAAATTAAAAGCACTACCTTTTATGCTAAGTAAATAAAAATACAAATTCGCATCAATTTTCTCAAATTTCACAAACAACGAAAACTGACTACAACTGATAAATCATAGAACTCGCAAGCTATTAATTAACAAGAAAATATCAAGCGGAGTAATTAATGAAAAGATTTGATATGAATATTTAAAATAACAGATTATTTTTGAAAGAAAAATTACCAAAATTGACTTATGAAAAGTAAAAGTTATGATATATATTTTGAAAATTAAATAAAAAAACTTTGTAAACAATGAAACAGTATTAACAATTTCAGAGAATCAAATTGTTAGAATTCGATGGTCCATTCAAAAATTTAAATACTACTAGCTCATGTTCATTAAATTACTCCAGCTTCAATAAGACAGACATGTTACATATATTCAAAATTTAAAATTTCAAAAATTTTCATGTAAAAAACAGAAACAATTTAAAAAAAGATTAAGAGAGAAACAAAAAGTTATTCAGTTTAAGCCACATTATACTTTTCAAAATGTCTAAGCTTTTCAATGCGAAAACAAATACACTGTGTATAATATGAAAATTTGTTCGTGCAATAGTCTTAACACGCCAAAAACTACCCTACAATTTACTTATATAAAAAATAAAAATGAGAATAAAAAAGCGCAAAAAAACACGAACCGATTAATTTATTGAATGACCCATTAGCATGACTTGCGGATATAGCTTTAATTTTTTGAATAGCAAATCATTTTCAAATAAGATGAGAAAAAAAAACAGAATTTATGGGTTAGTAAGTTATCTCAGAGTCTTTCTATTTTACAATTAATCCTACTATAATTCAAAATTTGGTACTAATAGTGCTACAACTTCTGTTAAAAATTCTACCAATCACTAAAGAAGCTCTAATTCGAAATTTATAATTGAAAGAGTGAAATTATTACACAACTCTAATCTTAACCACTACATGCCATAGAAAAGTTTACAACTTTTACTTTCCACTTTATACTTTACTTTAATATTTAAACTTAAAATACGAATAATACATTGAGCAAATTTCTTGCTACTCGCTATGAAATAAATATTCACTCTATAATTTGACTGAAAAATTAGTGCTTGTTTATTTCGTGGCAAGCAAACATTTGCAAGCTACATCTGAAAACAATGCACACACACACACGCGCACACACACACGCACACACACACGCAGACACACACACACTTGTATAGCTAAAAGAAAGGATTCTTCAAAAAAGCACTTTACACGCAAAAAGCATACATTCTCACTTAATGCACACACACACACACACACAAAGCATAAACACAGACACATACATATAAACAAACACTCAGACAGACAAAACTGTGTTGAAAATTCATCGATTGTATACTCAAAAAACTTGCAGAACGTTTGTCATCCAATGCAGATGACACACTTTGTTTTTTGTTGAGAATATGATACATGCTGATTCACTTCCTTGCCTTTAAATAGAAACACTATGATTAGTGACAAACTTTTTTGCTAGACAGAACTCATTTTGAGACAATTTTCACTTGCATATCTATCTATCTATCTATCCATCTACCTATCTATCTATCTATCTATCTATCCATCTATCTAACTATAACACACATTCAAACTCAAATCTTTGCTCTTAAATACATCGATTATAGATAGATACTAGACTAGATAGATCCTAGTGGTATGCAATTTTTTTTCATCTCTATATCTCTTCAAAACATCCACAACTTATTCTATTCTATCCATCTAAACATCCATTTCTTTTTTTGCAAATAAAAAAATTGCATATTTTTTGGTCACACTGATTAAAGTGCCAGCACATTCCTCTTCACGTTCTTCTCATTGCGTACGTACATTTGCATGTGAGCTTCTCAACTTGTGTGCATAAATTACTGCTACAAATCTTCATTTACAATAATTATTATTTTTAATATTTTCAACCAAATTATCACTTTAATTGCTAACAATTTCAAACAATCACATTCTTTCTACTCTCTCTCTCTCTCTCTCTCATTTCTATTTACTTTTGCATCCTTTTACTACTGTGCAAAAAATACTAAATTGTTCCATATTATTTTCATATCTATTAGTAGTCTTCATTGTCCATGTTCTTATATATACATATAGGTAGATGGATGGATAGATAGATAGATAGATAGATGGATAGATGGATAGATGGATAGATGGATAGATAGATGGATACGTATGGAATAAGCAAAAGATGACAGCATTGAAAAAGTAGACATTCTTTCAATCTTAACTGCTTTTCTCCAGTTTCGGATTCAAATTGCATGTGTTAAAGTTTGTATCAAAAGACTACTTCCCTTCTAAATCCAAATAAATAATCCACTTCTTAATCAGAACTTATCCTGTCCTGTCATTACATGAGTATTAATTTTCCCACTTCCAATGCAAGTTAATTACCATTTTTACCATCCAAAACTTTAAATAATTCATACAAAAATAATCATTTAATCACTTTACTGTTTCTATTTTTATCATAAAATAACCCATTTTCTCGCCATAAATGTAAACTTACTAAAAACAACGCCAAATAATATTCAAAAATAGATTACAGTAAAATAGTTAAGGCATTACTGATAAATGCCAATGGCTGGTAATCTATTCAAACAACAAATTTGCCTATTGTATCAATTCTGCCCTTTGAACTTAAAGTTATTAACCACGCATTAATACTTCTTTATGATCTTACACATTACTTTGCATTACTGTTTACATCATGCAAGTAGTTAACCAATCTGACATGTCCCGTATATAATAGGATTATTGATCAGCCCAACACACTGATTATCCAAGCTTACAGTTTACATCTTAACCCATCGATAAAAAATATTTTCAGTTTAAAAAAGTAATTAGTGTGTAAATACTTGTATGCATTTTAAAATGTGTTAAAAATATATACGGGACATGTCTGATCAATCCTATTATGTAACTATGTTACTGATCGCATTCACTTCTTTTATAAAAAGATTTGGTCTTTTGATTTATCGCTTGATTGAGTGATTGATTGTGTAATGCTAATTAGCACAACACCACACAGACAATCAATTAGCTGATAAATCAATAACTCTCGAAAATAAACAACAGTGGAATCCAGCTCAGATTTTTGTTATCTGAACTTCTCTAAAAATAATTCCAAACTTCTACTTGACTTCTCTTTTAATTTTCCTACAAGAATGGAAACAAGTCTATACGCATTATTATTATATACAAAAATATTGAGAAAAAAACCAAAAATGTATAAAAATCTTTTTTGCATGAGAAAAATATCCAGAATACTAGTATGCACTTGCTAAACAATTTATTGTCAATAATAAACATAAATGAAACTGACTGATTTAGAAGAGAGAACACTGTTATCGGGACGAACACACTCAGTCATTTCCGATCAACCAAACACTCAATCAATCGATAAATCAAAAGATCAATTCTTTTTATATCAGAAGTGAATGCGATCAATAACACAGCCACACTTTTTATTGCAACTGCTAGCATTGCCGACATGCTTCATCACAGGTTGATTTTTCCTTTTTATCATTCATTTGAAATAATTATTCATTTTCTGTCTGGTATAAATACATTACAAATGACAACTGAAACCAAATTATTGATATTTGTAATAAAATTAATAACCAACAAACCTGTTAAATCCATTTCACCTTATTTGTCATATCCTCTTAGATCAAATAATCAGTCACTTAATCAATCAATTACGAGTAAGCAACCTTATAAAATCTTAATTATTTTCATAATTTATAAATTTCGTCTTGTCAAGAAGTTCTACAGAACTGAATTAGTATTCTTGTCTCCACGAGAATTTAAAACTCTTGCAAGTATTCATGTTATGCATTACGCTGACGTAATGGTCAAGATTCACATAGATCGTATCAGATCTCGCTCAGAAATACATTACTTTGCTGACTTTTTTTTCTCGAAAAGTTCTTTCAATTATTACTCGCATTATCAAAAAAGCTTTCAAAAGATTTTCATTTCAGTTGAATGTCTCAGTTGTTATACTTGTGAAAGCCTTGAAGATTGTGCTAATCCACGGATACAACTATGCTCTAAAAATGACGAATGCTTCACTGTTGCTCAAAATTACGACACAAAATCGAATGGTTGCTATGAATAGACTGCTTCCTTTACATAATAAAAATAGTCTATCTCTAAAATTCAATATATTTAATTAATTAATTAATAATTTTTTGGTATAAAAAATACAAAATGGATTAAGACATAATTTGTAAGCAGTACTCAACTTTTTAAGATGTACTTTTTTGGACTGGATAAAGTAACTTTAAGGCTTAAGAAAAGGCTGCGCACCAACATGCGATCGAGTGAATATAGTCGGAAAATTATGCAGAACCTGTGATTCTGAACTGTGTAATGGAAAAACTGGTAAGGAACCATTTTGCCTTCATTATACTATTTTCAAGTAACAACCTCATCACATAATCATTTAATACAATTTCATAAATGCTACCAATTACAGTAATAATGGTGATAGTTGTTCCAATATCTGCCAGACAGTTTTTTACTTTTAGTCCATTAATAATTATTAATGCACCAACAGTATTTTCAATAGATACCTTATATAAACAGTGAACACTCATTCTAAAAAAAATACACTACAATATAATTTTCATTCATTTGTAAAATTAAGCAGATAAATAATAAACTTTTTGAGCCAAAAATTAAGAAATCTTTAACTATAAACTTAGGTATGCAGAGAAATGTATACGTTCTTTAAGCTCATAATTTTGAAGCATGCCCAAATTTATTTTCAGTGATACATAAGTTAATGAATTTTTCGATTACTGCTTTTTCAGGTCTAGGAAAAGCATTTGAAAAACCTAATCCTCTGCCATCACGTCCTCTTTCAGGTATAAAAGAATTATTGAGAACTTTTTTGAAAACAAACAATATAGAAAACAACGTACAGTCTTTACAAAACTGGCTTTACTTTGCTTATTTATGTAACTACGAATACTTATTAATATAAATGCTGAATCTTAGGTTCTCGAAATGCTGCCCGAAGAAAAAAGATGAACATTCCTCTGATGTACTTAGTTCTAACCATAGTCTTGCGTATACTGTCTTTCTTAACTTGTAATTAGCGAAAAAATGCTTCTATCAGTCTGAAAATTATGCTTATTTTAACTCAAAATTATTATTAAAACTGCAAGCATTTTGTTTACAAAAATCTGATATGAACAGCATCATTTCCTTCTCAGCAATCAAGCTGTATAGAATATTAGCTGCTGTACTTTGATAATGTCTATTTATTTTCTGTTGCATTAATATAACTTTAAAAATATTATTTTAATATAACTTATATAAAAGTTGCCACAGAACCATAGTTTTTTAATATTTTTGGGCACTGTGGTAAAAATTTTATTTTATTTTTTATCACAGTGTCCAAAAATATTAAAAAAACATTCATCTTTTTCAATATACTTTGAATTTTTTTTAAATAAAAAATGACTACAATCTGTTTTAAGCTCGATCTCTTCATAACAAGCAAAATAAGTGACATAGAGGGAAGAATTGGTAGAATATCTTTAAATTTATCGTCCTGCACAGTGATTTTGAAGATGCATCAATTTGAAATTTGCTGAACATTCATTTCATATTCTGATATTGAGGCCTTTTCATCTTCTATATAATGTATAATAACTCACCAAAACGACTTTTCCCTTGATGCAATCGTGCCTTGCTTAATTGTTAGTTATAAAAAGCCCCTTCTATTACTTTCATTAAACTTCCAATGAAGCTTACCCAATGCAATTCAGTAAAAATCTAGCGGTTTTTAATATAACAGAGAGCAAGACAAAAACTAAAGTTCATTGCATGAGACATTTTTTAGATAGAGCTTTCAGCAATAAAATTATGGTAGCTAGAAGTATAAATAAATACACAGCAAGCTTCTATACTTTATCTATAACATCATAGATGATGAACTAACCCATATCAGCACTCAACTGATTCAGCTGCGCTTCACGACGAAATTGTGCTAGCAGATTATCTGCTTTCACTGATAGACTACTATCTTGTACTGTATCACTGAGACGACGACTATCATATTTTACAGATTTCTGTAATTTCTAAATTGATAAGAAAATACAAAAGATTTGAAGACTCTAAATTTAAAAGCTCAAATCATCAATATAAGTAAGAGATACAACATTTTGCATACATATTGATCTCAATTTTTTGAATCAATCTTTATAAGTCGAATGAATACCTTTCTACAAAACAAACCATGCTTTTTCGTTGAAGACTGCCATACTGTGGTTTTGCAGCAGAATTTAATAAATTCCGAAAATCGACATCGTCTAAACTTTGTAATGACATAGCAGAAGCAAATGAATCCTTAGTACATAATGAGTTTGTCTAAAAATTGCTTACAAAATTTGTTTTAATTGAAAATTAGCATTTTGATCAAGTAAGAAAATATATACAAATATGCGAAGAAATGAAATTTTCGAATGGAAAAAGCAAAGTTATTTCTTTGAAATAATATTAATTCTAACAAATTTTTTGGTCAATAAATTGTACGACAAGCAAAGAAAGTTGCTCATTTAATCTTTGCAACTAATTAATGCTTAGTTATAATGAAAAATGAAAATTCCTAAAATACAAAATGAAAAAAAGAGTAACTAATTTACATTAAATAGCTGAATATGGCAATCAATATCTAATTAAGAATCCTTTCATCTAATATATAAAACATATACATATTTGAATAATATTACACAAAAATAAGGCTGATTAACCTTATCCATAATATCACTTTTCGTGGCATTAAGCAGCTTGCCATTTGTTACATTACATCTTTTAATCACACTACTGCTACTTCCAACATAATTTCGGATGCAATTTCTTTTGCTCGGCATTACCTTCTCTGAAAAAAAACCATTTTACGAGATTACAAAATTTGAAATTTCTTTTCTCCTCTAAGTAAAATTTGATTAGTAGCAATATCCGACTGGTGTGGTAGACTTTGTATTGAATCCCTCAGATACTGCAAGTTACCGTAGACAAACAAGGCCAGCAATGAAACAAAGTCAAACTTATTTTTGAGCAAATTATACAAACAAGTAATTGAAAATTGCCTCTGAAACCTATTTGATTTCAGTGATTCCTATTTTAATTCTAAGAATTTTTCAAGCACTCATTAAAATCAAATGACTTTTTGGCATTAACACTGAATTTAGGCGCCAAATTCCCGAATATTAATAAGATAAAAGCTAAGTTTGAAAAATTTTTCAATATCAATACATTATTGAATATTCGTGAGGGATTAAATTCCTAGAAATAATCAATACGATTATTTAATTTTACAATCAAGTAGGAATAGTAATTTTTCAAAACTATTTCTGACAGCTAAAATGTAGTGCTTACCAATTTTTTACAATTGCTTTAATGAAATTAAGCACTGAATTGAAACAAAGTACTCATATTGCTATATGACATTAAATAGTAACTTATTAATATACTTTATTCAAAGTTCGAACATTTTGCAATACAATAATATATCTTAGAAAATGTACGATCAAATGTAACTAGCTGCTTTTTCTTCTTAAATTTGATATCTAATGTGCTGATAATTTACTTATTTAATTCAATTAATTAATTATAATCTTTTTTTATTGAGAAGATTTTTGCAGGCCAGAAAATTTTCAAATCTTTTCATCATATCTATTTTAAAATGCAATAACAGACAAGTAAGTGTTAATAAATAAGCAACTATCACTTCAAATATCTCCCACAAAACTCTCTTGAAAAGTATTCTAAATACTTAAAGACTAAAATACTTACTTTGTAATATACCAATACAATTAAAATATTTATGGAGTAAAAATTTAATTACGTATTTATTACGTATTTAACATGTAAAAAATGCTAGTAATTTACCCACATAATCAGATGACTGCGTAATTCAATAAACCAATAACAGAAGAGATCAAATTCAGTACGCACATAGGTGAAATACCCTAAGGGCAGCACATTGTAAAATTTGAGGTGAAGAAGTAGGCTTGTTGGAAGAGTTATAAGGAGCATTTGATCTGCGACCTGAGTTGAGCTAAGATACTTCCCTTCTGGGTCGAGAAGTAAATGAAGACTAGGTCATTTTGAAAAGTACAGTCTGTTTATGTGACTGTACTCAGTCAGTCGAACTTAATTATAAGACAAACAGCTTAATCAAAAAAGCTCTTCTTTTGCATTTATTTAAACTTGGAGAAACACAACACATGAAATCTAAATCTAATTTTAGTAACAGATAATTACATTGTAAGCTGAATTGTGATAGATTTAGTTTCAATATTTTTAATTATAAACTTGGATTAGAGTTTGTAGTTGAAGTAGTAATAGTAATTAAGTAAAGATCTCCTAGACTTACTTCCTTGTTAAGGCATACATACTCATTTTATTAATACAGAAAGAATATTTGAAGTGATTATTAAATTCCTTTAAATTATTTATAACTAGCTTTTTTATGCTTAATTCTTGTTTTTTTCCGAATACTTGCGCCCTACTAAAATTGAAATTGAACTTAATAGTTATGCAAATTTAAAGTTTCGATGTGAGCATTTAAAAAGCTTCAATTTGCATAATTATTGCATTGGCTTAAAAATAACTACAAAAGTAGCACTGAATGAGATACAATTTATTTGTTGAATATTTCTTCAGAAGGCATGGTCTATTGCGCATGTCATTAACTTCTCACATTAATGAAAAATGAAAAAAACTCGGCTACGGACTGCTTCAGCGTCTAGAAAAACTGACAAGGCTAAACGGGTAGAGATCCGAGACGTCCTCAGTGTTTAAAATTCAAAATTTTGAATCATTGCTGAATTATCAATGATACATATTAATCGTGATAAAATTAGAACAAAATGTTTTAATTAAATATTTGTAAATAGAAAAAGTTTGTGATCAGTTTAAATGAATAACTAATGTGATCAGATGAATGAATGAATGAATCTTTTTGCAGCATAAGTATCGAAAATTTGATGAATTGCTACCCAAATTATGCACAGCAAAATATAATGAAACAAGAAGCGCAGAAATATGTAAACAAAAGGTTGCTAAAGAAGAAGACAAGAAAGGAAGCAGTAAAACTCCACGTAAACATATCAAGCAAATAAAAAGCCGTAAGAAAGCAAAACGTTCAGTCTGTAGCACAGCAACAATCAGTTCAGGATCAGTAGAACGAATCAGTTCTGATTCGCGAGCTCAATCTAAAGAACGTTTGAAAACTTCAAAAGAACAAACTAAAGAAACACCAATTGATTCAAGAGAAACTACTAGTGGTAGACCAGTTCAATCGAAAGAATATGTCAGTAAATCGTTAGATTCTCGAGAATACTTGATCAAAAGCTCAAAAGAACCAATTTACTCTAGTGAATGCACTGAAGAATATTATGCCAAACAACTAAGCAAGCTTAGCTCCACAGAAGAAAGTACCGAAAGTTGGCAACAGAAGAATTATACAGAAGAAAATCTCAAGAAGGTTCTGCAAAATTTTTTTTATAAACGTTGAAAATTCATTGAATCATACAGAATAGCAGGCAGATCTTGCCTTATATGAGAATTAATTTAATTTTAAATTAATTAGCAAACTGAATCATTTACTTAAATATCTATTTATTGAAAAAAAAGTGGAAAATAAAGATTTAAATTCAGGACATTCCAGTTCCTACAAGAAACATACTTTAATATTTTGTCCAATTGTGTGTATATGCAGCTTACTAAATTTCTTCTTACATATTGTTTTTATGAATCATTGCTCTACAAGACTTGAGTTATCAATAATAAATATTAAAAGTGATCAAATGCCATGTTACTATTCATTAAACTTATCAATTTGAATCAAAACAGTTTAAGATAGCACAAAATTTAATCTTAATACATTGAACTTCATCTTAATGTTTTAAAGAAAGAAAAAGGTGTGGATGATACTTGGGACAAGAAAAAAACATCTGGACGGAAAAAACCAGTAAGATTTCTTGCGCACTTATAATTCCTGCATTAATAATACTTAAGACTTGTAAGAACGATTATTAAATGAAGCTGACCATGCATGTTTTATAATTATATATGCATACTTACAATTCACTATGAGCCAAAAAAAGACTTGAAAGCTAGAAAATATTATTTTGCATTAGTAAATTCAAAGCCTAGTTATAAAATATGCATAATTATTTTCATTTAATAATCAGTTCAATTTTTTTAAACTTAAGCATAAAACATTTCAAAAATATAAGAATCAGTGCTAAGTAAGTGAAAAACAAAAAATGATCGCCTTGTGACTTTTTCAGAACTTTTAAGTTTAAAAATGCTTATTAGTACTTGAAAGTTTTCTAAAAGTTTTTCTAAAAAATACAATATTTTCTCGACATATACTATTGGCATATAAATCTTGATTTAATATTTGTAAGAAAAGTAAGTAGTTCACATTTCAGAAGCGACCTCATTATTACAAGTCTCCGAGAAACAGGGCTCCAGAAGGCCGTAAATTGAAGAAAAAGAAGTCCATTCAGCGATATCCAGTATGTTTTGCTAACTGGTGAAGTACTTACTTAAATATCACTACCAGTGTAAATTGTGCGCAACAAAACTTCTATGCTTTAAGTAATTTGAAAATTTTCAAATGTATACAAATTATCTTATCGTAGCATTGAAAATTATGTGATTTCACATGAACTGTAACAAAATTTACAATTTCAATTAAAAATAACTATGCAATCTTCAGAATTTGCCTAGCACATTCAATAAATACCAAAGTAAAAAAATTTTCAAATATTTTCTAGCACAAAAAGTATTCAGTAGGTATTTCTGAAAACATTTATCACCCAGTAGATAAAGTTGCGAACTTTTTGCATTTATTCATTAAACAACATAATTTAATTATCTTCCTATTGATGAAAAAGTGATAAACTTTGAGTGATAATCACTACAATTTAAGCGTCCATATTACTATGATCCTGACCGAGATGTTGTGCCAGATAGTCTGAGAGATTTGAAGAAAATAAGTTGGCGAAGGAAACGGACTCCTGTTTGTTCAGCTGCTTTGCTTGCTAATAAATTTTAATTCTTTTTAAAATTGGAAAGGTTGAATAAAGGACTATTTTATGAGAAGAGAGTATAAAATTGTTTAATTTTATGCAAAATAATGTATTTTTGAATAAACTGAAAATATTTGATAAGTAATTAATGATACTTAATTTGTACACAAGTACGATTTCTGAGTATAATGTGCTTATAAACGTTTAGACTGAAATTATTTATCAACAAATAGATATTTAAAAATGAAACTAGTTCTTTCGTCCCTCAAAATAATGCTAACTTATTATTTTTGTTTTTTTTAATAAATTTTTCAATGAATAATTTTTGACGTTTATTCAGCGCCCTTACTATTATGACAGTGTCCGGGATGTGGTTCCAGAAAGTCTGAAGGAGAACAAATCTCGAAAGATTAAGCGAACACCGGTTTTGTTACATTTTATATTTATCATATATCATCAATGCATAACCTTTTTTTTGGTTAAATATAGCAAAAATATAATAAATCTCAAGTAATAATAATAATAATAATAATAATAATATTGATTAAAGATAATAATAAAAATTAATAAATCTTCAGAGGCCTAGATATTATGATCCAAACAAGGATGATGTACCAGCAAGTTTGAAGGACAGAAAACCACAAAAATTAGTGGAGGAAGGAGTTTGTTGTTATATATTAATTATTTA